ATCAAAATCTTGGCTGATTTCAATGTGCTGTTGGATGTTGTCCGCCATTGCTTCTGTGGTTAACGTCACGTTGTAATCCAACTGCAGTTGAGTTGGACGGCAATTGTAGTTCAAGATGAGCGTTCGAAGACGTATACTATCAAACTCACAAATGGACCAATCAGAGGTTAGAGCTGATTTCCAGTAAGAAACCAGGCCTTTAGATCCATCGAATCTCCCAATACTTGATCTAGAAGTCTCTTTGTATTCTGGGTTTGGTTCAAAATTACAAGGCTACACAGTTGAACATTGGTAGTCGTTAACTCAGAATTGGGTCGTAAGTTATAATTTTCCGTTACAAGTTTCGTACAAACTGAATTTAAGATATTGGTTAGTTTCAGCTTGAAAAAAAAACAACACTTTTACGAATTTCAAATTTCGTTAAGTTCAGAAATTAAAAAGAATGTTACAGTGTGAAATCACTTTGATAAAAAATGCTACTCCATCATGCCTTTCTTACTAACATTAACTAAACATTACATTTGATCATTATATATTGTTGAAAACAATGAGGCTCTGTTTTATGTTAGAAAATAATGCTCGGTAACCTTCAATCGATCAGTGCTATTTCTTTGTAGAATGAGGAAGTTTGAAAGGGTAGCGGAGCTTTTGTGGAAAAGAGCAATTAAGGCAATTAGTATGTTCTAGATTAAATAATTTCTTACTGTAGAATATGTTTGCAGGTAATACTAACTAAATAAAGAGCACCTGTAAATCAATTAGAAGGAGAACTTTACCTTTTAGGAACCCAGGCACTTTGGGAATGTACATAATTTATTTTGAAAATGTGTCATGGCAGAATTTACTCTTTGTTAACGAAATAAGATGAAAGAGGATCTATTTGCCCAGTAAATTTCAATTCAAATGAGCAAAAGAAATGCTCTATCAGAATTTCAAAAGGTGCACACTGAATTTAAAAGAAAAAGAATAATGTACTTTCATGCATTTGAATGAATATTTAGATAGTATTTAATTTTATTCTAAGCATCTTATATTTTCTCATTAAAACTTTGAAGTACAATAGTACTAATTATCAGGAAAAGATAATTAGAATATTCCTTTCAATTTTTTTACGACGAGCAAACTGTACCTGATTATCGCAGCTCTTTAATAGGCATGATATTTTAATTGTTTGCGTTTTTCATAAATAAATATACAAGAGTCTGACAAAAATATGAAAACACTTCCATACTAATTCTATGTAAACAATCCTTCTTTTAGCATCAAATGCTTTGGAAGATTGCAAAACTGATGGCTCAATTAGACAAATCACGCTTAAAGCTTTTAGAAAAAGAAAAAAAAACACATTTTTACCCCAACGCTTCTCCCAACAGAAGCTTTCACCCAATAGAAACAGCAAAAACGAATGTTATTATTTTATTTTTATCTTTCCAAGATTTTTTGAATTCTTTTTTATATTTATTGGAATAATAAGGATTAACTTAAAATCTTAGAGGTATATTGTAAAATTTATTACCATATAAAATATTCAAGAAAATTTTTCCAGGTTTTACAATTCTCAAAAATTTTTTTTGGATGTTTAAAAAAATTGCCTTCGAAAATAATAGTTTTATGTTTTTAGCCTTAATTCACAAAATCACTGAACCGGAAGATTTCTGTAACCCCTCAGTTGAACCATTTTTTTTTCTCCAGAACTGTTGTGTATAAATATTTTTGAGATTGAAAATGATTCATACCAAGAAATTCATTTAGCTATCATCAAAAGTTAATTTAATCTCTAAGACCATATTTATAGTGGGAAGGTGGGTTGGATTTTAATTTTATCCACTGTAAAAGTAGGCTATAAACTTGAATTGCTGTGCTTATAAAAAGTATTAACCTTTTCCGGCGCAGCAAATTTTGATTGAATTTGTCAGCATATTAGCAATGGGACTGAAGATCGTGATTTGGACTCTGAATTATTCTGGTTACTCAGTACAAGCCCTGGTGGGCTCTTACTGATTCATCGGATCTGACATGACTCACAAATATAAGAGAAAAACATGGTTAGTCATATAGTATTTGGAGGACACAAACATTAATATAGGAAAAAACAATGGCAATCTAGGTTCACAATCAGCGGACCCATCGGTTGCCCGCAGTTTCTGGTGGTTTGACCCCCGGTTACACCAGGCAGATATATTGTATATGAATGGTAATAAAATGAAAAAATAGGCTAAGTACAATATTTACATTATTTCTTGGATAGTATACCAACGCATAAGAAAAAGATTGCCAGTGGACTGCGTCTAAAGTCTTTCATTAACGAAATCGCTGTTGGTTCTAGATTGTACAAGAGTGTAACAAGCGCTTTGCATTAGCTTATAGCTCTGTATTTCCATCTTTGTGAAAACAGAATTATGAGTAAAGAAATGTACTTGAGCTTGATGAGTTCTAAAGAATAGTGGTTTCTAAAAAATGAACGTTTAGATGCAAGTAAGTGTAGATGAATAAGTTTTGCGAGACTAGACACAGCACCGGAAGGAGTTAATAAATTGTTTTCAGGAATCTATCTTCTTAGGCCACCTGTGTATTAGTTAACAATTTTAATGGCCTACCTGTGCCTTTAGAGGGTGGGCACTTCCTTGAAATTCGATGGTCCCAAAGGCGTCTGTAGGACTGGCAGCCGTGTGTCGAGATGGACTCCAATGTTCGTCAGCTGATGTTTGAGATGATGTGTGACTGTGAACGCTGTGTGCCCTATATAGGCTTTGGCTTGCACTGACAGGATGGTTGGCCAGCATACCCCCACACCCACATCTAGAATTGAAACAAAAATTATAATTAAAATAAGAGTTTTTTTTAAAATCTAATAATGAGTCGAAGTACAGAAAAAGTTTATCTGCGTATAATGCGCTAGAAATAACAAATCTCGAATATTTGTGAGTCAAAACTCACAATTTTTAATATTACCTTATTTTCTGGAAGAAAATACTCCACATAAATAAGAACAAAAATTATTGCAATGGACGTTTCTTAAAAATAATTATTAGGCGAAAAAATATTAATAGTTGCCACTAATAATTCGTAAATATTATCAAATAAAGGACAATCTGAGGAATATCGTTCTTCCTGAAATATATGCTTATTTATAATTGATTGGAATTAAAGGAGGTGAAGCATTTATTGTGCCGGTGTTTTACTGTGCATTTTTGAACGTCCAAACTCATCTTTAAAAAAAAATCTTAATTTACTTGAGCATTTGTTATATTATTTAAGCTTTTCGGTCAGTCGAATACCAGATAGCCGGGGTTTTACTGTAGTGAGGATGATTAGCTCTTGCTACTATACAACTATTTAGAGTTTACGATTGCATATAACTTATTGTCAAAAATTGTCTAACCTAAGTTAAAACAACGAGCCACCCTGGCCGACTGGTCATTCGTTAAAAGCTCCGAAGTATCAAGGAAGCTAGTTCTGTGTTTATCTGTGTAAATACCATCCTAACACTAGTCTTAACTATCTTAATGATGTTCTTTTCTAATTCGTGCTATCTACTCTTCAATTGGGGCCTCCCTAGCCGAGCGATATCGCAGGCCAAACACTGTGCGAAATGTGAAGGTGGCGGGTTCGAATCCCGTAATCCTGGATGTATTCTTCGTGATGTACTTTAATTAATTCTTCTATCTGTCCTCCTACTTGACAAAGAATTACCCCTCAAAGAATGGTATTTAGATAAAGAATCGTGTATGAATAAAACTGAGCACATAAGCTTAAATTGAGCACACAAGCCTGCAAAAGTATGCAATTGAAAGTTCTTCAATTTGACAAGGACTTAAGATGTGTACTTTGTATTGAGTACATAACCGTACACATGAAGTGGCTACTAAACATTTAAAATGGTTTAAAACATTTGTTGCAGCTAGACTTGCTATACTGCATAAGAATGGATTAAAGCTCGACGATTTCAAGGCTAACAGCATAATGGCAGCAATGTGGTTTGCATTGCCCACAGGCCACTTTTACTACTCAGACGAGCTAGTGCGTATTGATCTAAACCGGTTAGCCTTAGAAGCCTGGTCATGCACAATGACTGCCCTGTCCCTTAGCTACTGTTATTTTTTGTCTACTATAAAAATGCACTATTACATATTAGTATATAACATTTTACAAGTTAAATAATAAAATAACATGGCTGAAATATAAAAGCAAAAAAATTAAAGGATGACTAAAAATATTCTCCCACTACGTACGTATTTTGACGAAACCAATTTCAATATTTTCGAACTTAGCATCATTCGATTTCATTTCGAGAAACTTTGTATTTTATTGTTTCTCTTCAATTTAACATATTCGCATCGCATGAATAGAATTTTCGTTTCATAACAATGATAAGTTTTCGCCAGGAAACGAGAATTTTCATTTTTCATTTCTGCTGTATATCCGATAAAAAAAAAATACTAGTAACATCATTTTATTTATAGCTTAGTTTAGTGAACAGTTAAGGTTATGATGAACATAGTGGAAACAAAAACGCGCACGAAACTGTTTGCTACATGACTGCTATGAAACATTCAATTTGAAATATATTTTTCAATGCATATTTTATTTAATTAATTTGTTTCGAATGCATTTATATAGCAAAATAAGAGAAATTTCATATGCACTGACATTTATGGATGTTTTAATATCGTAAGTTATAATAGTTTACATTATTATAACATGCATAGTTTTTAGAATGGGCTAAAAATGTGCATGTATAAAAGTGTAATTCATGAAAAGCAGATAATTTATGAATATATAAAATTAATCGATTTTTCAAAAATATCATAGGTTTATTTCGATTACTTTTGAGTAGTGGTGCTCAAATTCATTCGGCCATAGTTATAGTTGGGAAATTCTGATTTTTGCAAATAGCCAACGCCATTGGCTAGTTGCATTGCAAAGGCAGTTTGCAAAGAGTTGAAATTTCCAATTAATCTAAAGCAATTTGAATTAAGCATCTTCTTTGATGAAAGTATAAGTATATTTTTTACTACCACTTTAAAAATGCATAGAAAATCTCTCTAAAACGTGTTTCCGCAGCTGCAAACTTCATAATTATACTTGTTTTGATTATCTTAAAATTTGAAATTTCCTACTGCAGTGTTTCCCATGAAATAAAACCACGTTGATTTTGTGGCAGAAAAATCAATTCGAACTAAATATACGAATTAAGAAAGTCTCTATCTACACATATATCAACAAGGATTAACTTAGTTCCTGCGCCTACTGAGCAGGGGAAAAATCTAACATAAAAAGGAGAAAAATGTTCCACTGTAATAACTGTTAATAGCCAATATATCGACCGTGTTTATTAATGACCTGAAATGTGTGATGTTGCGTATCATTTATTGAAACCTGGGGGACATTAGCATATATATTATCCCAGGCTTCAATGATGGCAGCCTTCAAACGGCAATAAATGGGTTCCCAGCTTCTTTTGCTTCTCATTGGGCAAGTTAAGTGTACCACCATCACCTGTAATATTAAAGTTAACCTAGCTTCTCCTCTACGTCGCATAGAGGCTATAGATTTGCAAAAGATGCTAGAGATTCATTTATTGCCTTTTATAGAGAGAACTGGTGGTACATTTCAGACTTTTAGCAGGACAATGCTTCAATTTAAGTTTGAAAATCTTCAGAGTAGGTTTTTTTTTGATAATAGAGTAACGGCCTGTTACTCTATTATCCCCGAAATTGTTATTTCCCCGAACCTCAATCCCCAAGAAAACATGGGTACAAACCTCAATGGGGCTCTTTATACCAAAAAGTAGCAGTTTCAATGAGTGGAAAAATTGAATGCTGCTTCCCTAGGATAATATTCATGCTAATGTCTGGCAGGGTTTAGTAAGTGATACAGAAATCATATGTTTTTGTTGATATGTAAAAATGGTTGTTGGCTATTAACAGTAGTTGCTATATATCGGCAGAATTCCTTTTTCCCCAACTATTTTTTCACTTATCCGATTTTTTTCCTAGCCCAGAAGAAGCAGGGCCTAAATTACTTTATATAAATGTATTTGGATATAGACTTTCTTGATATACACGTTTCATTCTTATTGGGTTTCTTTGCGGCCAGTTATGGCCCTAAATCAAAGTGGTGGCTTTTTTTTCAAGAGGCTCACTGTAAAATTGGTGAGGATTTATTATTAATCCACGGTATTATTTACAATTACACACTATTTACTATTAATTTCAACAAGAGAAAATCCTTTTAAAACATTTCCTTTTAATTGTTTTTATTGATCTTAATAAAATTTTGTGGGGAACATTTTATCAAGCTTAAAAGTGATTCATAAAAGTATAGAGATATTTTTACCTGTTTTTTTTTTATATAAAATATTGTATTCCGACATAAATGTGCATGTTTTTTTACTTATTTGTTTGGCAAGGATTCTATAAAACATATTGTGAGATCAGCACCTTACATAATACTTTTCTGTAAGTCAAAGTGAAAAACTTACCGGCCTGTTTCTTTTGTAGCAACATATCGAATGCACTCTCGTTTCTGGAAATGCTGCTCCACCCACAACTTGCTCATCTAAAAAATAAAGTAAGCACTGTTTAATATTGTTTTACAGCTTTGAAAATACTATTAAGTACTATTGATAACGGTACATTTCTACTTTCAATCCACTACCAGTAGCATTGAATGAATTTAAAAAAATGTACACCCTCCAACTACTAAAGAATATCCGTAATTTCATCAAATCTTTCAATTGGTAGTGAAGGTAGCATACTAGTATTTTAATAAATAAAAATTAAAAGAATTTCACCCAGAAATGCATATAAACATGGTTTATACAGATAAATAATGTGAGAGATAGACAAAAGGTCATGCTCTTAAGTTCTATTAAGCATTTTATTAAAATTCACTTAAAGAAATGTAAATACTTTTAATGAAAAATTCTGCTTTAATTCTCAACTACGAAAAAAATTTATTTGGCTGAAACATTACTTTTAAGAGGGTATGAAATGTTTTACCTCAGATGTTAGAGATGACAGAGAAAAGTAACTCTAATAAATACCCTAAAATAGAATGTTTTATATTCTTTGAAATGTTATTATAAATGGTTTAAACTTAAAATTTTCTAGAATTGAACTGATTTTTACACAAAGAGGAAAATAAATGAAGAAGAGATTGCGGATAAAATTGATACAAATAAATAGTCAACAGTAGCATATTTTAAATCTTTAAAAAACTATATTAAACCATGTTACATCATAAATTGAATTTATTAAACCAAGATCATTAATAAACTACCACTTGAAAATATTTATTTGCTATCCGAAGCAAGTTGACATCTCTGCAGATACGTATAACAGAGATGCCAACTGCTCCGGACGTAACAAAATAATTCAAAAAACGGTAAATAACAACAAACTAAAATTTCTGTATATTCGGTTAACTTAGTTTACTTTTTGAAGTGTTTAACATGCTCAACTATAACTTGAACTAAGTTCTATTACAGTGTAGAAGTCCGCTAAGCGGACACTTCACACTTTCATCTGTGATTGTGCCCGTGGGCACCTGGAATAATTGCGTTGTAAGTGGATAATGGCGGTGGTCAGATTAAATCTGCATTTAATCTATACGCATATTTAATAAATTATTTATATGTTTAAGTAACACAAACGGATGGTTAAAGTTGGTGAAGGCTCTGCTACAACAGTGACCCGGTCGTCCTGATATTCAACCACTCATACCGGTTTACTCACTGTTCTAAATTGCTCAACTAAAAAAAAAGTGCCGAATTGTATACGCCTTCGATTTATATAGAAATAGTGGTGGATAAAAACCTAATAAATCGAAATTATTAAACTAAAAATCTAACATTTAAAGACTAGCACTCAAAAATAATTATCCGCTGTCCGGAGCAAGTAGGCATCTCTAGTATAATTCAGAAAACTAATGTGAATACTAGGTTGCCAGTTAGCACATCTTAGATGAAGAAGTCGGGACCCCCGCGGCAGCGGGCAGGTACTTCAACAACACTCCTATCAAGTCAAGTCAAGACTGCTAGGGTTTTTCGATGTTAAGTTATTTCTTCTATTTTTTATTTGTGAGTAATATAACTATGATACTGGTATTAATGTAAAAAGTAAAATTAGTCTTTTTTTTCTGTTTGGTAAATATTATTTTGAAAAGTTTTGCGACAAACTTTTAACAGACACTATGCATTTATTCATTAGCTTTGGCAAAGTATTCGCTTATGTTCTGTCTTAAAATATCTGAGGTGCCCTGAGTATTTAAAAATTAATGAGTACAGTCACCAGAATTCTAATTACAGAGATCCCAACTGCTCCGGACTCGCCAAAGTAATTACAAATAATGGTAAATAACTGCAAATTAAATTTTGCAAACATTTGACTATTTCTGCTGGCTTTTTAAATGGCATAGCATGACATAACTACTCTAAAGTGGTGAATTATATAAACCTACGAACTATTTAGAAATAGTGGTGGATAAAAATCTACTCAATTGAATTTATTAAACCAAGAATCGCAATTGATAAACTACCACTTTAAAATATTTATTTGATGTCCGGAGCAAGTTGGCGTCTCTGTAATTATCTGACACAAAGAGTGAAAACCGGTAACAAATCACAGGTTATTTGTTAACGGTTTTTACTCATTTCCTGTCTTGATATATAAAGACCTTCAGCCCTCCGACTCGATATATACCTGTGCCAGATGGTTCATCAGGCATACAAATATTCATAAACACCTCAAGATCCCGACATTATCACAATATATTCACAAATTAAATACAGATTTCTTTAACAAGGCCATAAAATGTAACACAGCTAACTTCAACCAAATATTCAACTTTGAAAACTACAAAAAAGATATAAATTTCAGATCAATAGCCGCTCACTTTACATCCGGGGCCTCACATCACAATCATCAAAATAAATAATAGCCTCAACAAATTTCTTAATCACAGATCCACCCTATAGCATCAGATTCAACAATATTGAAAGATCTATCAAGCGTTTCCCCACGTAGACCATCAACCTGCTTCCAGTTCTATAGCCACACACAGTTTAAAGCAACCTGCTTTGTTTTATTTTCATTTATTCAAGCAAGGTACTTGAATCCCCCTCATAGCTACCACACTGACTGTTGATCACAAAGCAAATAACGCATGAACGCATGCTAAATAACGCATGAACGATGGGATAGGGGCAGCTTCGCGGCCCAGATGCCTAGCTAGCATAACTAAAGAACAAGATTTACATGGACTTTTTCGATATTATATACAGATTTCTTTAACAAGGCCATAAAATGTAACACAGCTAACTAATATGGACTTTCAGCCCTGGATTCTACCCATTCACTCAGACGAAATAGTTAGAGCCCCTGGAAGGGCTGATAACTAAGATATCTAATTTACAAAGATTTTACCCACTAATTTTTACGATAACTTATCTGCTATCTGATTGATGATAGATTAAAGCATTTGAATTTAAAACAAAAATATTTCAAGCAATGTTTTTCCATGATATAGTATCGTTACTTGAGAAAGAAAAATAAAGCCCAAGTGTTTTTTTAAATCCTTTTAAGTGCACTGTTGCTAGTCTAGCAACACATTCAAAAAATTTTACAAACCTTTCGAAACTTAAAAGTAATTACTTTTAAACCATTAGCAACCACTATTCCTTAACCTAAAAAGAGTCAAATTATGTTAATTCACTTAAAATCTATTAAGGACGTACTTTCCCGTCTGACTGAAGTTTTCTAAGTTTGCTGTTCCGCACATTAAAGTCACAATTTGTTTCAAGAAATTTTACTAGTAGTTTATATGCTTAAAAATTGAATTGAGAAAGTCCCCTGGTTATTTCATTAGTCTGCAGATATTAATAGTCTCCTGTCAACCTCGTGTACCTGATTATCATTAGCGTATAATTAAATATTTTATCGTATTATATATCAGAATTAAAATCGTATCTAAATGTTACCTAATCAATGTTATTTTAATAGAAAAAATATTTTTTCGATTTAACTACTTTAAAGTAAATCTTAGAACCCAAACTGAATCTAACAAAAACAGAATATTATAAAATTTTATTAGTTAACGGTTCAGAAGTGATCTTACTTCAATTGTATTAAAAAAAATTTCTATATTACTCTTAACAATTATTTCTAGAAATAAAGTGCAATAAAACAACTCAAACTCTTTAGTTATTGCACAAATCTTATCAGAATTAATCTCACCATAATAGAATCAGAATAAAAATCATTCACATCTAATCATTAAATTAGCTGATCTTATTTCTTAAGCATAACTGTTTTATGAATACAATACTTCTCTAAATTGAAAATATTTTATACCCAAACTGAATATTTGAGAACCAAAGTTTAAATAGGAGATTAAAACAGAATGTTATCAAATTTTTACAGTAGATGATTCAGCGCGCTCTTGCTTTTACTGTACTAAATTCGCTCTACATTTTTAATGACAGTTGTTTCTAGAAATAAACAGCAGAACAAGATCTCGGCAATCTCTCTTATTAGTGCTTAAATCTTATCATATCAGAATTAAAATCATATATGACCATTAAACTATCTGAGCAATCTTAGCTGAACTATTTTTCGATTTAACTATTTCCATAAATAAAAAATATTAAATACCCAAGACAAACTGGATCTTTGAGCATAAAAATTTAAATTTAAAATAAAAATAAAAAAATATCCGATTTTATCAGTTGCTGATTCAAAGAGCTCTTGCTTCTACTGTACTGAATTCTCTCTCTATTCCCAATAATAATTGCTTCTACAAATAAAGTACCATAAATCTCGACAAGCTCTATTAGTGCTCAAATCTTAATCCTGCTGTCCTATTAGTGATCAAATCTTAACCTTACTGGTCTTGTTAGTGCTCAATTATTAACCTTACTGTCTTGTTAGTGCTCAAATCTTAACCTTACTGTCTTGTTAGTGCCCAAATCTTAACCTTACTGTCTTGTTAGTGCTCAAATCTTAACCTTACTGTCCTGTTAGTGCTCAAATCTTAACCTTACTGTCTTATTAGTGCTCAAATCTTAACCATACTGCCTTATTAGTGCTCAAATCTTAAAGTAATAAAATCAGAATTAAACGCAAGAATTATCAGAATCTGTCATAAAATCAGAATTGAAATCATATATAATCATTTTACTATCTGATCAATCTTATTTTAATAGCTAAACTATTTTTTTAAACTTTAGCTACATCCATGAAGAAAAATAAATACCCAGACTGGATCTATCAAATACCCAAGTATAAATAGAAGATGATAGAAAATGTTATCAAATTTAATCAGTGTAACACCATTTTCTGCAACTGTCTTATTAGTCTTCAAAACTTAAAGTAATAAAATCAGAATTAAACGTAAGAATTTATCAGAATTATCCGTCATTAAAACAGAATTAAAATCATGTTTATCCATTTAACTATCTGATTAATCTTATTTGTAATAGCAAAACTATTTTTTTTAAAATATAACTACTTCCGTAGAGAAAAACAAATACCCAGACGGAACCAATCAAATACCAAAGT